CATCCAGAAGCATGGCTCTCCCACACTTGTGATTACCTGATCCTTTTAAACTTTAATCTTCAACCAGCATGTTACGTGTAAAGATTATGGTAAACTGTATTATGTAGAAGATGCCCATAATCTAGCGGTTGATCCTTAGTCAATGGTTTCAGTGGTGTCAGTGAAGGCAAAAGAAGCAGTATATCAAAATTATGTCTCACTACAAAAATAATACCAACAAAAGCCATGAATTAAAAAAAAATACGCCATATACATCAGAAAAAAGACGAAAATTAGTACAAAACAAATTTTTATGACAAATAATCTCTTTGTTTCGTTTGTATTAGCATATTTTGTTCATTTGTCAAAGAGTGGGTTCTTGCGGCTATGAAAAATGTTATATTAGGCGGCCGGAGTGCGAAGTACACTTGGGACCCAAAAACGTAGCCACAAGCGGTTTTTTTTTTGTTTTATCTAAACGTAAACAACTTTAAACAAAAAAATCCTTTTCTTTTAAATGTAACTAAATTGCCCTTTATACGACATACATGACATATACACGATCCCACATCTGTCTCTCATAGGGATTTTTTTTTTAAGGGGGGAAAATCATCGAATGACTGCTCCCGCCTGGGTGAGGCGGAAGGGAGTGTCAGACTCTTACTGACTAAAAACCACCCCGTTCCTTCTCCTGCACGTCGAGCCGGAGCCCCGGTTACCCGTTAGGTTCTCCGCGACGTCTCTCATAGGGATAGGGAGATACGGTACTACGATTCTTAAATACTTACTTACTTCTTTCTTAACTAAAAATCGCGGGTTACTCACTTGAATATACTGAGAAAAGCTCTACTAGCTTCGAACCACAGAGGGGTTCTTCCTCATGAGTAGCGTGCGCGGTCGCGGCGATGTCGCCCAGCTTACTGAATCAGTAGGCTAATTAAATTTAGTATGTCTCACGATAGTTATTATAAAAACTTACTTCTTTCGTTTTATCAACCATCCTTACTTAGAGATATATTATAAATCGGAAAGTGAGTTTGTTTGTTTGTTTGTTCCGCTTTCACGCCGTAACTACTAAACCGATTGCTTTGAATTTTTGCAGACGTAAAGTTAAAAGTCCGGATTAAATAATAGGCTACTTTTTATCCCGGAAAAATTTGGTATTCCCGAGGGAAAACAAAAGTATTGGTATATATGGCGCTGTATGCATTGGTAAATGTCACATAGGCTACTTTTTATCCTTTTGTGACGCGAGCGAAGCCGCGGGTAAAAGCTAGTCATAAATACGTTGTCGCGGAGAACCTAACGGGTAACCGGGGCTCCGGCTCGACGTGCAGGAGAAGGAACGGGGTGGTTTTTAGTCAGTAAGAGTCTGACACTTCCTTCCGCCTCACCCAGGCGGGAGCAGTCATTCGACGATTTTCCCTCCTTAAAAAAAAAAAGTCATAAATACGTTACCAATTAATAAAATACTAGTATCAGAAAATATTTGCTCCGGTTTTTTGATTCCAAGTGTACTTTTGTATACATTTTGACCTCTAGTACGAGTGTCAACGAGACCTTTCATTGTTTTAGGTACATTTTTCTGTCGACATTTATATTTGTTGTATTTCCTGAAACCACCCTTTTTACAAGCTTTTTATGTAGTGTTGTATTTTTATACAGTGTGTTGTTATTGTTAATGTTGTGTTTTGTTTTTAATTTATTTGTGTTGTCAGGATTTTAATTTATATCGTTACTAGCTGTTGCCCACGACTTCGTCCGCGTAGAGTAATGACCTCTGGCAGAATTAGTTTTCTCAAGGGATATTCTACGGTAAGTAATGAATGTCGTCAGAACTGATTCAGTCACATAGGCGATAGTGTGATAGCCTATATGTAGACCCGATTTGTTAGTAATATTCATGCAAAATTTGAAGTAAATCCATGCAGTACTTTTTGAGATCACCCGGATATACATACAGACAAACAGACAAAAAATTCAAAAATCATATTTTTGGCTTTCGGTATCGATTACAGATCATGCCACAAGTATTATTTAAAAAAAAAATTCAGTGTACAATTTTGACTTTTCTACGATTTTATTATATGTATAGATAGATGTGTTGGGTAAGTTAGTTATTGTTAGGGTTCTCCATCATCACCATCGGGACTTTTTCGTTCACTGCTGGCCGTAGGCCTTCCAATAGCATGATATTCAGCCCTATCTTTACTCTTCATTAAGACTGAAAGCGATTATTTGACTAATAATAAGATGTTAGCAGTGCGTGCACTTTTGTATTATAAACATTTCGTGATAACTGCCACTAAGCGCCTTTACTACTTCTAAGAGCAATACTCAATAATAACTTACATACATAGCTATTTCAAAATATTTAAAAAAGTTACTAAAATCGTGGGTCACTCAGTCACGTCATAAAAGTTTCGAAAAATTCATCTTTTTTAAAGCAATATATGCGTCAAAATTTGTTCTGCGTTAGTAAACCGACAATAATTTATCGTTACTCAAAAATTGAACTCTAAACTAAACACTTAAAACATCAAACTGATTAAACTTTTAAACTATCAAAACTGAAGCAAACCACTTACGAAGGAAGTAAAAGTACAGTACGAACATAACCTAAAAAAACGGGTCACAAAAATATACCATCGAAAACTTTCCACTACGTTTTTCGAAAATGCTCTCATATTTTTCCTAGATTTTATAGCTCGTATTCTGGTATCCTTCAGCACTAAACAACTCCCGTAAAAACTTCACCAGATAGTTTTGAACTTGATAATAATTTTCCCGGTATTTTTCTCGATACTTCCACGGCTCCACGGTTGGTTTCAAGTTAAGAACTTATTGTATTCTTTATGTATTGGATAAATGTAGAAGTTTGTCTGTAAGTACAATGGAGAAGTGCTCAAGTTCTTGGAGCTAAAGTGAAGGGTTATTGAAAATCTGATTTTATAATATGAAGGCGTTTTCAATGGTGAATGTATATGTAGATAGTAATCACGTCGGGCGTGATTACTATCTAAAGTTTTAATAGATGGTTGAGAATTATTAACTACTGTGGCAACAATAACAATTAGGCCTTATTGTGAGTAAAATATATATTTGTCACGGCCCCTACTCATCTTGCGAAAACTACACCTTGGAGAGAGATCAGACAGCAGCGTTCTTTACTTAAGAACCTTCTTTTTTGGAATAGGAGGCAAACGAGCTGACGGATCACCTGATGGTAAGCGATCAGCGCCGCCCATGGACACCCGCAACCAGAGAAATCACAGGTGCGTTGCCAGCCTTTTAAAAAGGAATACGCTCTTTTCTTGAAGTTTTGAAGGTCGTATCGGTTCGGAAATGCAGCCGACGATAGATCATTCCGCAGTTTTGCTGTGCGAGGCAGAAAGCTACCTTAGAAGCGCTCAGTTGTAGCCTACCAATCATTTATATGATGGGGATGCATAATGCTGTCGTGAGGGTCGATGGCGAAAAGGTGCGGCAGGTATCATTCAGGTCAAACAATTCCTCAGAGCACGCCCCGTGGAGCTATATAGTACTTTTAGGTATACTTTTGAACTACGATCTCTAATTTGCGTGCTAAGCTAACTGATTATGGCAAACTATATGAATAGGCCTTTCCAGTAGTGGACTGTTGTTACAGATTTGCTCTTTACCGATTTCACCACCGAAACATTGTACTTCGATGTTTGATAACAAATCATTTGGGTCAAATCGCTTGGCAAGTCTAGTCTATATGTTACGGCTAATACCCGAAGTGCGGCTACTCCTAGTTTTAGCCGGTCAGAACTAGGTGTAACCACTTACTCTTGGTTAAACCTAGTACGAGCCGATTGTTTTCGGATAAACTAGGTCTAGCCTTCATCATGCCGACTAAAACTAGGTCCAGCCATTCTCTGTTGGATAAAACTAGAAGCTAACAAGGCGACTTTCCCAATGTGTTAATGGTTGTACTTGAATGTAACGACAAGGGCTTATAAAAATTAGGAAACAAATACGGCACTATAACAGAACTATTTTCAAGAAATCAGTTCACTGCGTGTGATTCAAAATTTTTAGATATTGACATGGTTTCATCCGAAAAGAAATCACTACGCCAAATAGCCAATGCACAATCGACCTCTGGTGGGCAAGCATATAAAAAGATGCCACTGCAAAACCAAATTTGGCAACAAAAAGTGCCTCTGCAAAGCTGCCGGTATTATGTGCAATTCATAATGTCACTCAAGTTTAAGTTGTTCTGATAAATAGTTCATGTTACTTTATAAAAGTGTAATTTATAATTATAATAACATTCTTTAAATTATAATATGCAACCACGTAATATCTATTGTTAAAAAATGTTCCTGACTATTCCTATTATATTAAAAATTGTACGCCTAATAATTAATTATTATAATGTGATTTATAAGAATAAAAAAACTTTACGTTTCTTTTTATTGGATGTTTTTTAATTTTTAAAAAAGCTCTGCCGATAGCATGCCAGCTATAACTATGTATAGCCAATCCCTGTTAGATGTCGCGGAGAACCTAACGGGTAACCGGGGCTCCGGCTCGAAGTGCAGGAGAAGGAACGGGGTGGTTTTTAGTCAGTAAGAGTCTGACACTCCCTTCCGCCTCACTCAGGCGGGAGCAGTCATTCGATGATTTTCCCCCCTTAAAAAAAAACCTTATTAGATACAACTAAGACACGCGCTTCTGCTGCAGACGCTGTGAGTCACACTCGCTAGTAGACCTGCAGTACATCAGTAGCACCTGGCACTCACAACCTGCAGAGGCGCGTGCCTCGCTATGCCCTCCACCCCGCGCCGCTGCTGCAGGTGATGTGAGTCATGAGTGGGACTCGGGGCGGAAGGCTTGGCGGGACAGGCATCTACGTTTTATCCAACAGGGATCGTCTGGACCTACTCCCAAAGCGTCTCCTGCCATCTCTCGAAAATGATAGAGTATATTCGATAGGCTTCGAGTAATTCTCGAAACTGATCGAAGTTTTCTAGGACGCTTGATAGGACGCTCTATAGATTTCGAGTAACTCTCGAAAGTAATCGAGGACGCTCGATTGTTTTCGAGGACGCTCGATAGATTTCGAGGACGCTCGATTGTTTTCGAGGACACTCGCTAGTTTTCGAGGACGCTCGATAGTTTTCGAGCACGCTCGATTGTTTTCGAGGACGCTCGAAACTGATCGAGGACGCTCGAAACTGATCGAGGACGCTCGATTGTTTTCGAGGACGCTCGATTGTTTTCGAGGACGCTCGATTGTTTTCGAGGACGCTCGATAGTTTTCGAGCACGCTCGATTGTTTTCGAGGACGCTCGAAACTGATCGAGGACGCTCGATTGTTTTCGAGGACGCTCGAAACTGATCGAGGACGCTCGATAGATTTCGAGGACGCTCGATAGTTTTTGAGGACGCTCGATTGTTTTCGAGGACGCTCGAAACTGATCGAGGACGCTCGATAGTTTTCGAGGACGCTCGATAGTTTTCGAGCACGCTCGATTGTTTTCGAGGACGCTCGAAACTGATCGAGGACGCTCGATTGTTTTCGAGGACGCTCGAAACTGATCGAGGACGCTCGATTGTTTTCGAGGACGCTCGATAGTTTTCGAGGACGCTCGATTGTTTTCGAAGACGCTCGAAACTGATCGAGGACGCTCGATTGTTTTCGAGGACGCTCGATAGTTTTCGAGCACGCTCGATTGTTTTCGAGGACGCTCGATTGTTTTCGAGGACGCTCGATAGTTTTCGAGGGCGCTCGATAGATTTCGAGGACGCTCGATTGTTTTCGAGGACACTCGATAGTTTTCGAGGACGCTCGATTGCTTTCGAGGACGCTCGAAACTGATCGAGGACGCTCGATTGTTTTCGAGGACGCTCGAAACTGATCGAGGACGCTCGAAACTGATCGAGGACGCTCGATAGATTTCGAGGACACTCGATAGTTTTCGAGGACGCTCGATAGATTTCGAGGACACTCGATAGTTTTCGAGGACGCTCGATTGTTTTCGAGGACGCTCGATTGTTTTCGAGGACGCTCGATAGTTTTCGAGGGCGCTCGATAGATTTCGAGGACGCTCGATTGTTTTCGAGGACACTCGATAGTTTTCGAGGACGCTCGATTGCTTTCGAGGACGCTCTAAACTGATCGAGGACGCTCGATTGTTTTCGAGGACGCTCGAAACTGATCGAGGACGCTCGATTGTTTTCGAGGACGCTCGATAGTTTTCGAGGACGCTCGATAGTTTTCGAGGACGCTCGAAACTGATCGAGGACGCTCGATTGTTTTCGAGGACGCTCGATAGTTTTCGAGCACGCTCGATTGTTTTCGAGGACGCTCGAAACTGATCGAGGACGCTCGATTGTTTTCGAGGACGCTCGAAACTGATCGAGGACGCTCGATTGTTTTCGAGGACGCTCGATTGTTTTCGAGGGCGCTCGATAGATTTCGAGGACGCTCGATTGTTTTCGAGGACGCTCGAAACTGATCGAGGACGCTCGATAGATTTCGAGGACGCTCGATAGTTTTTGAGGACGCTCGATTGTTTTCGAGGACGCTCGAAACTGATCGAGGACGCTCGATTGTTTTCGAGGACGCTCGAAACTGATCGAGGACGCTCGATAGTTTTCGAGGACGCTCGATAGTTTTCGAGCACGCTCGATTGTTTTCGAGGACGCTCGGTAGATTTCGAGGACACTCGATAGTTTTCGAGGACGCTCGATTGTTTTCGAGGACGCTCGATTGTTTTCGAGGACGCTCGATAGTTTTCGAGCACGCTCGATAGATTTCGAGGACGCTCGATTGTTTTCGAGGACACTCGATAGTTTTCGAGGACGCTCGATTGTTTTCGAGGACGCTCGAAACTGATCGAGGACGCTCGATAGATTTCGAGGACACTCCATAGTTTTCGAGGACGCTCGATAGATTTCGAGGACACTCGATAGTTTTCGAGGACGCTCGATTGTTTTCGAGCACGCTCGATAGTTTTCGAGGACGCTCGATAGTTTTCGAGGACGCTCGAAACTGATCGAGGACGCTCGATAGATTTCGAGGACACTCGATAGTTTTCGAGGACGCTCGAAACTGATCGAGGACGTTCGATTGTTTTCGAAGACGCTCGCTAGATTTCGAGGACGCTCGATTGTTTTCGAGGACACTCGATAGTTTTCGAGTAACTCTCGACAGTGATCGAGGAGGCTCGATGGTTTTCGAGGACGCTCGATAGACTTCAAATTTAGGGCGCCACTGACCGGTATAAGGCACCAAAAAGTAAGCTCGCCATCGTATTGGGAGCGCCATCAACCAGGAGTGGGTGGTGAGTAGTAGATTGTCCTTATTTTAACAGTCCTACCTTTTACAGAAACCGATTAAGGATTAACTGTACATAATTTGGGGTGCTTTTTTTTTAAAGGGGTTAAATTATCGAATGACTGCTCCCGCCTGGGTGAGGCGGAAGGGAGTGTCAGACTCTTACTGACTAAAAACCACCCCGTTCCTTCTCCTGCACGTCGAGCCGGAGCCCCGGTTACCCGTTAGGTTCTCCGCGACAATTTGGGGCGCTACGCCCAACTGGTATAATAATAATAGTAAGGAAGCCGCAGGGCACCTTTTTTTTTTTAAGGGGGAAAAATCATCGAATGACTGCTCCCGCCTGGGTGAGGCGGAAGGGAGTGTCAGAGGTTGTGAGCGCCATGTGCTGCTAATGTACTGCAGGTCTACTAGCGAGTGTAACTCACAGCGTCTGCAGCAGAAGCGCGTGTCTTAGTTGTATCTAACAGGGATTTTTTTTAAGGGGGGAAAATCATCGAATGACTGCTCCCGCCTGGGTGAGGCGGAAGGGAGTGGCAGACTCTTACTGACTAAAAACCACCCCGTTCCTTCTCCTGCACGTCGAGCCGGAGCCCCGGTTACCCGTTAGGTTCTCCGCGACTCCGAATCGGCATCGGCCCTAATGGGCCCCATCTGTGTTGGTCTGATGGCTCTTTGAGGCGCGCGCGGAACGCGACGCGCCGTACGCTCGGGTCTGTTTCTGGTCGGACGGGGAGCCACCCATGCTCGCTGTCCGCAGGCCCGCGCTTACGGTGGCCGGAGATCGTCTCGCGATCCCCGACGCCCGGTGTGTCCTTCGCGATGGCTGGGTTGCGAGGAGGCAGCGCTTCGCTGCCCTCACGCGTCCCGCCTCCTCTTAGCTAGCATGACTGCTTCGCAAAAGGAGGAGACGGCATCCCAATCCCCCTCGCTCCGCATCATGGCCTGCACTAGGCCCGGACGCGATAGGTCGCCATCGCCGATCACTTCCCTGAGGGCACGGCGGAGCTCAGCCCACGCAGGGCATTCTCCCACTGTGTGTTCCACCGTGGCCTCAGGGCGGTCCTCGCAGTGATGACACCCGGGCGTTTCCTCCCGCCCCATCAGACACAGGTACCTCCCGAAACTTCCATGTCCGGTGAGGACCTGCGTCAGGCGGTAGGTGAGGACGCCGTAGCGTCTCTCAAGCCACTCCTCAAAGAGGGGACTTACCGCTGCAATGGCAGCGAGCCCAGCCCCCGGTTGCGACAGTCGCTGCTGCCATTCCGCCATGAGATCGCGCCGGAGCTCATCCCGGCGACGTGCCTCTGCGCGCATGTTATACACGCGCGCGAGCACCTTCGCCTCCAAGCCGCAGGGCACCTTGAGGCGAAGTGACGGGCATTAGCGACCCCGCGGGCTACCATCATCCCGAGTGCTCCAGGAAGAAGTCACCGTTCCTTACTCTCCGGCTTGCCTTAATTGGCTGACTGGCGCCGAGTTCTAGCCGGAATGATATCGGATAGACCAAGTTTTATCCAACAGGGAATGGCTGGACCTAGTTGTAGCCGGCATGATGAAGGCTAGACCTAGTTTTACCCAAAAACAATAGGCTCGTACTAGGTTTAACCAAGACTAAGTGGCTACACCTAGTTCTGACCGGCTACACCTTTTACAATTACGGCTAATGCCGTAACACATATATAAAAATTAAACTTGTTTCCCGTTGTCGCGCCATAACTTGAGAATGGCTGGACCGATTTGGCTGATTTTTTTGTTGTGTTTGTTATTGTCAGGAGTAGGTTCTTATGATAGAAAAAAATCCTGAAAATCTTATGGGAACGGGAGAAAACGGTATTGCGCGTACGAAGTCGCGGGCAGAAGCTATATAGTTAACCAATAAAAATCCTATTTGTACTAAGTTGTTCGTTGTTTTGTTTTTACACTATTCTGACCTTAATCTGTTTTAGATTAAAGGAAGCGATATTGTTTTGTTTTTCCTGTGTTTAGGCTGGGTGTCGTGGTGGTCCGGAGGTTTAAGACGCCCACTTCTCATGCATGAGGGTGCGGGTTCGAAACCTACCAACGGCAAGTACCAATGTGACTTTTTCCGAGTTATATGTACTTTCTAAGATTATTTAGACACCACTGACAAACGGTGAAGGAAAAACATCGTGAGGAAACCTGGACTTATAATTTCTAATTATAAGTTTGAAATCGCCAACCCGCATTGAGCAAGCGTGGTGATTAATGCTCTAACCTTCTCCGTGTGAGAAGAGGCTTTGCTCAGCAGTGGGCATTTATAGGCTGTTGATGATGAGGCTGGGTGGGATGTAGCGTGGTGGCCTTGCATTTATTTATTTAGGTCCGAAGGTCAGTGAGCATGTTTTTTATAGGTAAAGAGGTATATGAGCAAAGTAAAGTAGGTACTGCCTCGTTGGCCGTGTGGTTGTAAGTGCGACTGCCGGGCACAGGGTCTCGGGTTTGATTCCCGGGTCGGGCAAAATATTACTGGGTTTAAGTAAGTAGTTGTTGAACATTAATGGTGAGGCGTAATATGGAAATGATATATTTTTGTAATATAATAATGTAAAATATGACACTAATTATTATTATCAGGTGGCGTATTATGACGTCTTAAAGCTAGAGTGGTTCCGCTGAGAAAACGAGATCTCGCTTGAGGACTTGTACATATAGCTCTGTTTCTTTCCCTCAATGGAACCATTCTGACTTTATGACGTCATAATAACCCCGCAGTCCACTTACTTCTACTAACTAACATAGACTTCTTTTACCACGCCACTCGCAAAATAATTTATGATCACTCTACCGAAGTCTTCATCACCCACATCACACATACACATCAACAGCCTATAAATAAATGCCCACTGCTGAGCAAAGCCTTTTCTCACACGCAGAAGGTTTGAGCATTAATCACCAAGCTTCCTCAATGCGGGTTGGCGATTACAAACTTATAATTGGAAATTATAAGCCCAGGTTTCCTCACGATGTTTTCCTTCACCGTTTGTCAGTGGTGTCTGAATAATCTTAGAAAGTACATATAACTCGGAAAAAGTCACATTGGTACTTGCCGTTGGTAGGTTTCCAACCAGCACCCTCATGTAGAAGCGGGCGTCTTAAGCCTCCGCGCCACTACGATATTATCATCATCTACACCCACACACATTTTACCATCTAAAAGACCATTCTCAATTAGCCTTTTTCCTGGGAAGATTAAAAAAAAATCCGCTAGGGGCAGCACCGATGGGGGGGTACATATGTTTTGAATTCTCTATTGACAACAACGTCAAACGTACGTCTTATTATTATCAGAATAAATAAATATTGTGATAAAAAATTTTTTTTAAAAAAATAGTCATGCCTACAAAACATTGCGCATTCGCAAATTGTACGTCTGATAGTCGGTACAAGCAAGATGGTGTAAAATTTGTGCCATTTATAAAACCACAAGTTAACAAAAAAAAGTGTTTGGAGTGGATACACTTATCACTTTTGCAAATTTTAATTTCGCTCCGGGTACATCATCTTCAGTTAATTCCATTTTAATTCTACACGTTTGACGTTGTTGTCAATAGAGAATTCAAAACATATGTACCCCCCACCGGTGCTGCCCCTAGCGGATTATTTTTTAATCTTCCCAGGAAAAAGGCTAATTCTTCGTAAAAGGCACCTACTTCAGTTTAACTTTATACTTCCTCAAAATTACATATTGATTACATTTCCTCCTACTTTCGAAGATAAGACCCAAAACTTGTGGGTTCCTAAGACGTTGAAAGGATGTGCCAACAATCCATCAAGTATTAAAGTACTTTTTGAAACGATAAGCTTGCTCAAGATATATTACACTTCGATATAAGTACATGTACTTAGACAGTGTTTAAAAGTATAGAAAAGTAATTTTGTATTATTTTATGAACTTAAGATATGCATAACATAACTGTAGGTCTTTGATTCCTTGCAGTTTTTTTTAATATTTTTTTTTATGTTTGATGGGCCGACGTTTGACCACTATCTCGTTTAGTGGTAAGCGATAATGCGGTTCCCGGTAACGATAACCCAATAATACTTTGCCCGACCCGGAAATCGAACCCTTGCTCGTTAGTCGCACTTGCGACATCTCGGCCAACGTGGCAAACAATTTAATTAAACCATAATTACGAATTTTGAAACGACAACAAATATAAAATAAGTATCAGTCTGTCAGTCTGTCCGTCAGTAAAGCTTAGGTGCTCATTCCAAACTGTATATTCGATTGGAGTAGAGCGAGCAAGAAACTCCATTCGTTACTCTTTTCTTCTTCTTTATGTAGGTCCTGTCCTATAAAAAGTTAAAAGCATATTGTATATTTTCTTTTTTTTAAAAAAAACGTCCCCGCTTTTGGATTTTCTCCTGTGTCGTGTACACAATGACACCCAGATCAGAAACAACAATTTGTGGATCACACAAAGTGTTGTACCGTGCGGGAATCGAACCATCATGTTGCACGGTGCAGTCATTACGACTTCTTTTTGAATATCTTTTCATAAACACCTTAAAATTTATATCACCGACTGTATTTTTAATCCTAATATAACCAAACCAAAGCCTATTCCCAAACAGTAAACACCAATAACAATAGCCACAAGCAAAATCAGTTTCAACAAAGTCTTACAAATTTATTCTAGTCATCACAACCCCTTCAAAGGCCTCTGACAAATCAATTAAAATATTAGTATGAATATCGGTATAATAGGTATCAAAGTAGGCTATCACTACTGTTTCAATGTAAACAATTTGTAAAACAATTTAGATCCCACCTTGTGCCCCTCTGCTAAGCAAAATGAGGAAGATTTACAATTTACGTTTGAAATGGGGCATCGAAAACAGCGTCTGATGGGATTGTTTCAAGAGTTAGATTCAACAGGACATCGTGGTGGCCCAGAGGTTAAACTGTCAAACACCGCGAGGATACCGATGACCGCAACCTATTGTTCTTTAATTGTGTCTATAATGACGGTACTCAAAGGGTTAAGACGCTCGCTTCATATGCACAAGAGTTTGAAACCTATCAACAGCAAGTACCATTACTATTTCCGAGTTAAATTTAATTTCTAAGATTATTTAGACACCACTGACAAACGGTGAAGCAAAACGTTATGAGGAAATCTGGGCTTATAATTTCTAATTATAAGTTTGAAATCGTCAACCCGCATTGAGCAAGCGTGGCGATTAATTGTCAAACCTTCTCTGTGTGAGAAAAGGCCTTTGGTCAACAGTAGCTACTTATAGGCTGTTGATGTTGTAGATTCAACTGACTCCTGGATTTTGTTATTTGAATGTGGTTAAAATTCATAATATGTTCTGGTTTTGAATGTTATTGGGTTCTATGATAAGTTCGTTAAAGTCATCAAATCGGATGTCTGGATTACCAACACTTCATAGCAACTGTGTGACACAAAAACATACGGGTCGAATTGAGAACCTCCTCCTTTTTTTGAAGTCGGTTGAAAATTGAAGTACCGTTTCAAAGTATGTGCCTGTTGGTCAAGGCAGTGGTAAATTTGCTTTTTACATGTCTTTTAGGACTTTAAAATCTTTAGTATCATGGTTCAATAAGACAACGTATATCTGTTTCATAGGAAGCTTCTAAATAACCATCAACCCAATTAGATGTATGTATGCACATTTTAAGTGTGGGAGAGCCATGCTTCAGCACGAATGAGCCGGCTCGACCGGAGTGATAGCACGGCCTCACACAAAACCTACGTGAAGCAACGCTTGAGTTGTGTTTCGTCGTGTGAGTGAGCCGGTGGCCTAATTACCCTCCCCATCCCCAATCTCCCCAATTTCTGAATCCCCAACGATACTCCTAATCCGCAAAAGGCCGGTAACGCACTTGAAACGCCAACGGCTTATGCCATAAAAAAAATGTAATGATAAAATTATTTAAAGGCATTGCAAATACTCAATATTTTTTTCTCAACTTTTCAATACACGTAAACCACAGTCACATCAAATAACAATTAAACTTAAAACTGGCCCCACCAATCGCAGTTCTACAAACCCCACACAATGTTTAACATTCCCAAGTAGCGTTGACAGAAATTGGCCCCTACAAAATGAGAGTGATAATTTTAGAAGGCCGTGACTTGAGTGACAACGCTGCAGATTTAATATCAAGGAAGCGCGCACCACGTTTACAAAATTAGCTTTGGTGTAAATTGAGGTGGAGACTGTTCTTGTACCACAGTTTTGAGTTTTCGAACAGTCTATAATTACTACTAATCTCGATGTTAGTTCCATAATCAAAGACAATTTTTTTTATGGAATAAGCCTGTAAACTGTGGTGGTGGCCCGGAGGTTTAAGACGCCCACTTCTCATGCATAAGGGTGCGGGTTCGAAACCTACCAACGGCAAGTACCAATGTGACTTTTTCCGAGTTATATGTACTTTCTAAGATTATTTAGACACCACTGACAAACGGTGAAGGAAAAACATCGTGAGGAAACCTGGACTTATAATTTCTAATTATAAGTTTGAAATCGCCAACCCGCATTGAGCAAGCGTGGTGATTAATGCTCTAACCTTCTCCGTGTGAGAAGAGGCTTTGCTCAGCAGTGGGCATTTATAGGCTGTTGATGATGAAGCCTGTAAACTAGCATAGCACAGTTACAAGTGCGTTCTGGGTATTAGGAGTTCGAGAAATGTTGAGGATTCGGGGGATTGGGGAGTAAATGGGAAAAATAATTATTAAAGCAATTGTTTTAATTGTACCACATTTTTCGTAATAGATTTTTCGTGCACAAATCCGTAGTATTATTGTAAAAAACCGCATTAGTTTTAAATATATTTTTTTAATAATATATAACTTATAACTACGAGTGTAAGTTAGTTAAAATAAGTTATAAGTTAAAATTTGCATGCTTTATTTATTAAGCAAAACATGATGATCTATTATATTGTACATATAACATCTTTGTATGTTTTTACGTTAAATTTAAATTACTTTATCTTTATCTTTATCAAGATAACTTTGTCCACCTGGATATTTACTAAAGCTGCGATCTATCAGTGGGATGGACTGGTAGGCGGCAGCATATTTCAAATCTTCGCTGATTGTATCATGACCACTACCTACGTGTTTTTATGCGATAAGCTGGTAAACGAGCATAGGAATCACAATTCAATTAGGAATTTGAGAATTATTGGGGATTGAGAAGATTGAGAAGGAGTTAGTTGAGCCTATGTTGCCCGCTAACCGCTAATTATGGGAAATCCAAAGAGATACACCTTTATTCCATAGTGTGTATTTTTTTCCTAATAATAAAGGTTATCATAAAGATAATCATAGCATTTTCACAGGGTGTCTTCAAGGCGCAAGTTAATAGGTTGTTTATGGGTCGACGTGCTCCATCGTAGACCGCATTATCGCTAAACACCAGGCGAGATAGTGGTCAAACGTCGGCCCATCAAATATAACAAAAGCCCTTGAACTTGAGCAAAAAGAGACAGTTTCCAAAAACTTTTCTTTTTCCGTCTAAACCACATTGTTGAAGATAATACTTATCATGGACATTGCTTCGGGAAGTACACTAGAATTTTTTGTAATGCCTAATTTAACCAAGCGTAAAGATTATAAGTTTATTGTGCTAAAATTGTTTTAGATGATTTCTTTTTTAATTTTCTTGTTGGTCAAGTTGATTCATAGCATCTACTAATAGAAAAAAGGTGGAAAATTGTGTTTTAAGAAGCAAAATACAACAGCACACTTTTAACAAAAATGTAATAACAACGAAATGATAGTGACAAAGTTAATGAACCTTCAATTTACAAACTAACCAAGAAAATATTTGTTGCCAGCATAAGTGTATTGACGGTCTGACGAATCTCGAACAAAAGCGCGCAGTTTTGCACTCGTTACACCTTTTATACGCCGATTCGGAGTCGCGGAGAGCCTAACGGGTAACCGGGGCTCCGGCTCGACGTGCAGGAGAAGGAACGGGGTGGTTTTTAGTCAGTAAGAGTCTGACACTCCCTCCCGCCTCACCCAGGCGGGAGCAGTCATTCGATGATTTCCCCCCCTAAAAAAAAACACCTTTTATACCAATCTAAATTGTCTTCTACCTTCAAAGATTCCCAACACTACATTTACTGATTCAAACAAAGTACCTAAAATTCGTTTAATTGACTTCTAAAATATCGCATATAATATCTGAAAGTTTATTATAGGTTAACATAAAATAATAGACCAAAAGTTCAGCTCGCCTTGCCTGGTAAATACAATACTGCCATAATTAACTGATACTCAAAACAAGATATTTAGTATGAATATAGTACCTATATATTTTTTAAACATTCCCCTCACACTATGATTTTCTCCTGTGTCGTGGGTGCTTTTACAAACATACAAGGTCACATACACATGACACCCAGACCCGTAACAACAAACTGTGGATCACACATAGACTTGTTCCGTGCGGCAGCCGGTTACCCAGCCACTGCACCAACCGTGCAGTCAGGGCAGTGCAAATATGTATTATTAGCTACTTCCGCGCAGTTTCACACGCTCTGCTCAGCTCCTATTGGTCGTAGTGTAATATTTTATATATGATAAATGCGCTATCCAACACAAAAATAATTATTCAAATGAGACTTTTAGTTACGGAGATTAGCGCGTTCAAACAAAAAAACTAACTCTTCCGCTTTATATAATAGTATAAGATTTTTTTTAAGCGGAGTAAATCATCGAATGACTGCTCCCGCCTGGGTGAGGCGGAAGGGAGTGTCAGATTCTTACTGACTAAAAACCACCCCGTTCTTTCTCCCACACGTCGAGCCGGAGCTCCGGTTACCCGTTAGGTTCTCCGCGACTAAGATATAAGATTTGTGGTACAAATACCTAGCACTGTTACATATACTACTGATCTACGATTAATAATTGTGAATTCGACGTTTAACTTAAAGCAGTGCAATAAGCAAGTCAATTTAGAATTTCTTTTTTGTTATGGCGTAAGCCGGTAAACGAGCAGACGGATCACCTGATGGTAAGCAATCGGCGTCGCCCATGGACACCTGGAACACCAGAGACGTTACAAGTGCGTTACCGGCCTTTTGGGGATTAGGAGTTTGAGGATCGTTGAGGATTCAGGAATTGGGGAGATTCGGGAAGGGGAGGGTAATTGGGCCTCCGGTAACCTCACTCACACGACGAAACACAACGCAAGCGTTGCTTCACGTCGGTTCTCTGTGAGGCCGTGATATCACTCCGGTCGAGCCGGCCCATTCGTGCCAAAGCATGGCTCTCCCACACTTAGTACTTATTATCTCTCAATCCTCTTTCTTTGACCAATTGTAAGTCGGTTTGATAACGAAACTTTAGGGTTTTGTACAAAGATATTCTCCTATAGAACTTACTGAGAATTTGCCAAGTTTTTCCTTTTGTATTGCAGATAGTGTGGCCACAGCATTATAACCTAACCCACCGCATTTATAAGATTTTCAACCCTACTTTTAAAC